TCAGGTACTTTAAGTTGAGAACGTTGGACTATAAAGTGGTTATTAAAAGGTGTTGGCTTCACAAATGGCTATTAAGCTATATATTCTTACCCCTTTTAGGACCATTAGGAGCTAGAAAGTTTGTAGATTGCATCATGAAATTGTATTCAGCAATATCCAGTGATTTGACATTGTACTGCTCTTCCAACACGCCTGGACTCTGCAGGCATCAGCATACAGGCACATATACCCCCACACAGAGTACACATATGATGCACACATAATCACAAAGTAAATCTTTGGGTTTTGTTTTATTTTGTGTTTTTTTTTTTTTTTTTTTTTTTTTTGAGACAGAGTCTCACTATGTATCCCTGGCTGGCCTGGAACTCACAGAGAGCTCTCTGCCTCGCAAGTGCTGGGATTAAAAGGTGTGCATGCCCATGAGCAATTTAAAATAATTATTTTTTTATTGAGTTTTTGAGATTTTCATAGGATATAATTTGATGGTATTCAGATCCCTTCCCTTATCTGCACCTCCCCTATTGCCCCCACCCAGTTTAATATACTCTGTTATATGTGTGTGTTTGTGTGTGTGTGTATGAAATAAAACCTATAGAGTTTAATTTCTGTCCCCAAATGTCCTTCAGTGTGAGTCTGTTCACTGGAGCCTGGTTTACTTACCAAGAGTCCCATGCTGCTTGACAAGAGACTGTCTCTGCCTCTCCCAGCAGCCATCTGTTGTCACAGTTTCTTTATTGGTGTTGGAGCTTCTTTTTTGCTTTCTCACGTCTGTACTGGAATTTTTTTTTTTTTTCTGGTTTGAGTGTGTGCATGCTATCACAGTTGCTGTGAGTTCACATGAGTAACTTTTCAGCTGTCTGGAAAACTTTCCTTGTGGTCATCTATTACATTGGACTTTCGCAATCTTTCTGCCCCCTCTTCTGCAGCCTTGGGGAGGCAGAAGTTTGATATAGGTGTCCTATTCAGGGATAAGCACTCTGCAGCCTCTTGTTCTTTGCACATTGACCAGTCATGGGCTTCTGTGTTAATAACCATCTGCTGCATAAGGAAACTTAGTTGAGAGATGCATTAATCTATGGCTATAATAATAAGTCATTAGGAGTCGGTTTAATACTGAACTGGCTCAGCAAACTTCCCTAAGTTACTCCATTTTGTTCAGAGCCATTTCAGTAGCAACTTTGTTCCACACCAAAAGGAAAAGGGGGGCAACCTTGGGCCTTGGAAAATTTCCCTTGCCATGAATCATGGAATGTGATAATTCCAGACATTATACATTTTTACTAACCAGCTTGTTTTGTTTCTGTAACCCGCTTGGTGTCTTGGGTCACCCTGACACAGGGCATAAGACCACCTTTGTTATCTTGTTATTGTATGACTACATGGAAGTCATTTACCTTGACTGTCTTATTATACTTATTATGGCTAAAACAGTTGGCCAGTTTTAAGGTCACAAAGTTGATTGCCAAGTTATATGACTGTATCACTTGTCTGTATAATGATTGGTTGTTGATTAATAGAGTCAAAATTCTGCTATGTTGTACAAACTTGATTGGTTCACAAATGTCCTGTTTTAATAATAATTCTGTAATCCTATAAAAACTCTGACTTAACAATCATCAGGGCTGCTTCTACTCCCGAGATAGACAGCCCGGCCCATCGAAAATTAAAATTTACCTTGCTACTTTTCTTAAAGTGGTGTTGGTGATTTTTTTTTACGAACTCTGTCCTATAACAAATACAATAACTATTTAGTAGAAAACTAGTACTATGTTCTTCCCTATATCCTGTGACTTGTCTAGCCTAAGATTTCTAAGCCTGATGTCAGTGTCAGGCATGGGCTCCATTCTATGAAGGGGACCTTAAATCCAATAAAGAGTGGTTGGTTACTCCCGTAATATTTTTGCCACAGTTGCATCAGTGGGCAGTTGTTATTGTATTTGACGGGATTCACAGCTGGGTATGGTTGATGATTGTTTTTCCCTTCCAGTAGCATGCATAGCATCTTTCAGCACTATGAACACTAACCAGTGGAGATGAGGCTTTTAAGTCAGCACCAGTTTGGCTTATTCTTGTTTGTTCTATAGCTCATGTATGTAGTATCTTCAGCATCAGGGTCTTACCATCCAGTTCTGGTGGGTAACCAAGAGCAAGGGCAATGGACATTATTATTTGAGGGTCTGTTAGACCCCCTGGCCAACAGCTTCTAGAAAGAAGAATGCCATTCCTAGCATTGAGGCTTTTTTTTTTTTCATTAGTCTGTGCCATCTAGAATGAGAAATGTCTTGTTATAGAATAGCTCCTTTTAATGTTTTTATAATGTATATGTACATTCTTTAAGAAACTTCTGCTGTGGTAGGTTTTCCATATAGCTTTTTCTAAAGGCCTTTAGTATTACTTATCCCTCCCCATACTCCCTCCTCTACCCTGCCCTCCCATTCCCCAACCCATTTAACACTTCCTAGTCCAATGTTCCCTTTTGCCCCTTCATATCACTGCATTCTACCACCCCTTTCAGGAAGCCTTTCCCTGACAGGTCATTTATTAGTTTCTTGACCTCTCTGAATTTTCAAATTGAGACATGAATATCCAAGATTTCAAAGCTAGCATCCAGCTATGAGCGAGAATGTGAGATATTTGGTTTTCTGAGTCTGGGTTACATCCCCAGTGAGGTAACCCAGACTCAAAATAAATCTTAAAGTCACACCTTCACTCAGTGTTTTAAGTAATTTTATGACTTTTTTCTGTGTGTGCTGCATTTTATAGCTATAGATCTTTTCCCAAGTATATCTGTGACACCCTCCCACACTCAATATCTTCTCTAGTGACCACATTTTGCACAGTGTTTTACAGATCCTAGCACTAGGGGGCATCCAAAGATGAATGGGGCATATAGGGTCCCTGCCCTGTAGGTGTCTTGTCTTGGATTGGTGGGATGAATGTGGGTCAGCTAATGCCAGGGAGTAGAAAGTGTGGTCAGTTTGGTTAACTTTCAGTGTGCACAGAACCATTGGTATTAGTCTTAAGGCTGTTTTGGGTGTAGGAAAAGTGGGGGTTTGTGGGAGGCCACCCCACAATGTGACTCGGTTCCGGCCCGCAGAACTTTCACGAGGTACCTGGATTGGGGTGCGGGGCCGTGGATGAGGCAAACGACGAGAAATGGAGACAAGACAGGAGTCTGATCAAGTTTCGTTTATTGAAGCTCGAGCAAGAGTTTTTATAGAGAATAAGAACAAAGGAACACAGACTGCAAACCATTACATCAGTCAGAGCATGAGGGCTCTGATGCACATTAAGGGAGGAATCTCTGATTATAGAAGAATAGAACCGTATGCTGGAAAGGAGAGCAAGGCCGTGGGCCAAGGCTATCTAGCAAGGCTATCTGGCCCCGGCTGTGAGCCAAGGTTGTGGGCACTTTCCCATGCCCGCAGGAGGAGGGTGGACAGAATGGAAAGTCACCAACTCAGGTCTGTCAGCAGTTTTGAGAAATGGTTGAGCCTCCGGCTCCCAACAGGGGTTGGAAGTTGGCCCTAATGGGGTGTGTGTGCAAATAGACATGTATGCATAGGGAGGTATTGAAGAGGAGGTAGAAGTTCACATGCTGCATACCCCCCAAAGTGATTATTTAAATATTAAAAACACTTTTGATTTTTTTAAAATAATTTTTAATTTTTCAGGGGGGTCTTTTTGAGACAGTGTCTCCCTGTGTCCCCAACTGTCCTGAAACTCACTCTGTAGACCAGGCTGGCCTTGAACTCACAGAGATTCGCTTGCTTCTGCCTCCCAAGTGCTGAAATTAAAGGCATGCTTCACCATGGCCAGCTAATGATTCATTCATTTTTATTTTGTGTGTATGACTATTTTACCGGCATGTATGTAAGTGTACCACGTGTATGCAATGCCCACAGAGACCAGAAAAGGGCATTGGATTCCCCTGGAACTGGAATTGTAGATGGTTGTTAGCTGCTATGTCGGTGCTGGGAACTGTACCTGGATCCTCTACAAGAGCAGGCAGTGCCCTTAACCGCTGAGCCATCTTTCCAGCCCCAATTATGTAAATATGTAAATAACATCTTGTTGCTTTTCTTCGTAGTTCGTTAGCATATATACAGCTATTTGAAAGAGCTTCCTAGGAAGATTCCTGTTGGGCGCTGAGGTTGGGCACTCAGTGCCGTCTTTGCCAAACTGGCTTTCAAAGCAGGTGTGCTATTTGTATTCCCACCAGCAATGCGTGAGCATTCCTGTTGCTCTAGGTCCTTGCCAGCATTTTTGTTTTGTTGTTATTTTGGATTTGGGTCCTTCAAATTGATGTGTAATTAATTGACAGTCTACCTTCCCTTATGCCACTTGCTTTTCTATCTGCTCTTTTGCTGGTTATTTGATCCTATAGATTGTATCTGGTAATTTATATGTTTTTAAAGATATTTTTTGTGTATGAGTGTTTTCCATGCATATATGTACTATGTGTGTGCAATGCCTGTGGAGGACTAAAGAGAGCATCAGATCCCTTGAAACTGAAG